GCTACCTGGACATATTTGTTGAGCACCAAAAGTAATGCCATACAGATTCTCCAAACCTTTATCAATATGATAGAAAATCAGTTCCAAACGACTGTAAAGTGTATTAGATCAGACAATGGGTTAGAATTCAACAACAATGAAGCACTTAAGTTTTTCCAAGCCAAAGGCATTACACATCAGAGAAGCTGCCCTTACACTCCACAGCAGAATAGCATAGTGGAGAGAAAACACAGATACTTGCTTGAAACTGCTAGAGCACTTCTTTTCCAATCCAAGTTACCAACTAAGTACTGGGGTGATTGCATTCTTACATCTATATACCTCATTAACAGACTTCCATCCACTTTTCTTCAAAATAAATGTCCTTATGAGATGTTATATAAGGAAAAACCAAAGTATTGTCAACTAAGATCCTTTGGATGTCTATGTTATCCCACATTGCCTAGAGTTCACAGAGACAAGCTGGAACCAAGAACCACCCCCATATCTTTATAGGATATCCACCTGGAATCAAAGGGTACAAGGTAATGAGTCTTGTCACAAAGAAAATACAAACCTCTAGAGATGTAATTTTTCATGAAGGCATATTCCCTTTTTCTTTCTCTTCAGAAAATAGTAATTTTCCTTCTATTGCAAAGACTTACTCTACTGATTTCTCTGAACCCTGTGATACATTGCCAAATAATCATTTAGATGTAATTGATGATCATCCAACTCTGTCTCTTAATCCTCAGCCTATACATTCACCACCTACACAAACTACACCAATCCCACATATACCACAGAGAAAATGCACTAGAGAAACTAAGATACCTTGTCATTTAAAGGACTATGTCTTGTCACTTCCCAACCTAAAGAACAACTCTGTTGCCAATACCATTCCCAATACCAACCAAAGTAGCCTGATATCTAATGCATTACTCAGTAAATACACTAGTCCTGATGTCATTGTTTCTCAAAGTCAAGTCTTGGTTGAAAATATTTGCTGTGATAGTGAACCATACTCCTATGAAGAGGCAGCATTAAGTCCTGCATGACAAAAGGCAATGGAACAAGAATTTAATGCTTTACATGCAAACAGAACTTGGGATTTGGTTAAACTACCTATGAATAAACAAGCTATTGGTTGTAAATGGGTATACAAAGTGAAACATAAAGCTGATGGCAGCATTGAGAGATTCAAGGCTAGATTGGTGGTTAAGGGATACACACAAAAGGTTGGAATAGACTACACAGGAACATATTCACCTGTTGTCAAGATGACCACTGTGAGAACATTGATGGCATGTGTTGTGAAGAAAGGCTGGAAAATGTTTCAACTTGATGTCAATAATGCATTTCTGCATGGTGATTTAAATGAAGAGGTGTATATGACAATACCTCAAGGTCTTGATGTGGGTGAGCCAGGCTTAGTTTGCAAGCTTAAAAAGTCCTTATATGGGCTTAAACAAGCTAGCAGACAGTGGTATGCTAAGTTGACTGAGGCATTATCTCTTAGGGGATATACACATTCACACTATGATTACTCCTTGTTTTACAAGAAGTCCAATTCAATGGTAGTGTTTGTGGCAGTTTATGTTGATGATATAGTCTTAACAGGCACAGATTCCACTGAGATCACTCAACTAAAGTTATACCTTGATAAGACATTCAAGATTAAAGACCTTGGTAGGCTTCATTATTTTTTAGGTATGGAGATACTTGACACTGCAGGAGGGGTTCTTATCTCACAAAGGAAGTTCCGCACTAGATTTACTGAAGGAGTATGATTGTTTCAGATACACAGCTTTATCATCACCCCTTGATCCAAATGTTAAGCTGAAAGCCAAGGAAGGAAGTCCACTACCTGATCCTACCTATTACAGGAAGCTTGTGGGAAAGCTAAACTTTCTTACTAATACCAGAATGGATATTTCTTTCAGTGTTCAACAACTGAGCCAGTTCATGCAAGATCCCAGAATTCCTCATTTACAAGCAGTCTTCCACTTGCTCAGGTATATAAAACAGGATCCTACCCTGGGAATCTACTTATCAAAGGATCCTAATTGTGTTATGAAGGCATATTGTGATTCAGATTGGGCTACATGTCCAGATTCCAGGAAATCAGTAAGTCGATTCGTGGTATTACTTGGAGATAGTCCTATCAGCTGGAAATCCAAGAAGCAGGAAACTATATCACTATCATCTGCAGAGGCCTGAGTACAGGTCACTCAGGAAGGTGGTAGGTGAGTTGGTGTGGCTACACAGGCTGATCAATGAGTTAACAATACCTCACACTTCTCCCATAGTTGTATATTGCGACAGTCAAGCTGCTATACACATAGCACATAACCCTGTGTTCCATGAAAGAACCAAACATATTGAAGTTGATTGCCATTTCGTACGCAACAAACTGCAGGAAGGGCTCATTTCAATTCAACATGTAACCACAAATGAACAATTGGCAGACATTTTTACTAAGTCTCTCACTGGCATTAAACATGCTGCAATTCTGAACAAGTTGGCTGTAAAGTCCTTACCTCCAACTTGAGGAGGGGCATTGAGAATTACATCTATTAATAGCAGAGTTAGTTAATATTTCTTGTTAGTTGATGTTCATATTGTTAGTTAGCTGTTAGTTAGCTGTCACATTGTTAGTTAGTAGGCACATGGTTAGTTAGTTAGTTAGTTGATCACATGTTTTCTCCTCTTCAATTAGTCTAGAATCTTCCAAATCACATGTATATAATGAAGGTGTAATGGATGAAATGAGATACAATTTTGGAATGAAATAGATTGAAATTCTTTTCTTCTTCTTCCTCTCTACAATGGCTGCTTCTCTACTACATCAGTGAAGCCATTGTAATGGTTAACTCACTGCATCAGTGAGTTCTTATTAAAATAGGCTAATTTTGAAGGATTTCTAAGTCTCTATCCCGTGCAAGCTGCTATAGCGGATGACATACAATTATAGCAGTGAATTTAATTCTCGCTATAGCGGATGATCCTACGATGGCACCGCTATAGCGAGATTGGACCATTATAATAGTGTTAATCACAGTTAATGCAGAAAAATTCTAAAAGTACCACTCATTATTTGACAATTGCATTTTGGGGAAGAGCAAGGGCAACCTAGGGAAAATTTCATGTGTTTTCCATCGTTATCATCGATAAAAATAAGTAAATTAGTCCCATAATTTAGAAACTCGATTCTAGAGTTTTAAAATCTGTGGATGGTGATCTTAGGGAATGGTTTCATTAGATTTTCTTTTTCCAACATTAATCTTTTGCTAATTAAAATAGAGTGTTATAAAATTCTCTACAAAAATGAGTATATTAGTAAGTTTAGAATAGTTAAATCACACTCTCTTGCATTAATGATACTGAGCTAAAAAAGAAGTAAATTTTAAATGAACAAGAAAAGTAAATATAATATCATAAACTACCATTAGTGTTATGAAGCAAAATAGTTAGGAAGATTTTTATAAATACTCCAAAGGTAATTAACCTATTTTGGGGCGTCATATTATATATCCAATACAAAATATATAAAATTCAAGTGAAATTTACTTTTTAGTTAACTTGAAGAAGGTTTGATGATTTTTATGAGACGAAAAAAAGAAAAATATCTTTTGAGTAATAAAATTTTAAAGTTAGATGACTTGGCTTTTATGTTATAAAAATAAAAAATAATAGAAAATTGATTTTATCTGATAAACTTTAGAATTAATTTTATGTGATAAACTTTAGAATTGGATGACTTTTATAGAATAATAATTAAAAAAAATATCATGCAATAAACTCAAATTAAATGATCCCTAGTGAAATTTAGAAAACAAAAATTCGGAAGGAAGAATTCATATTTTACATAATACATTGTCAATTTTGCTTCGTTACTATCGTGAAATTGACAAACATTAATCTCAAGGGACCACAAATTTTGTCGATCGGTTTTTGTCGATTTTTTAAAAGTTATTCTGACAATCGCATATATTATTTGATGAAATATTTCTATTGTTTTCAATTGCAATTATGCACTTCAAAACTTGTGGTGAAAAAAATTGATGGATATCTATCAGTTTTCGTTCCATCTATATTTTACAAGAAAAAAAAAGAAGAGCTCACGAACAAGGTAAATTTTCCTTCGATTTTTGAGCTGACCCCGTCGGTCGATTTTTAGAATTTTTGTTTAGTAGTGTTGAAGGCCACAAGTTTTGATCCCAATCAAACTCTTTAAATCAACCCCCTCCCCCCGGGAGAAAACGGGAAAGGAAGAAGGAAAAATGCCTAAAATTTGTAGGTGGGACATTGTATTCCTGTTGATTGAGACTACTATTTCAGCCCTGTCTATTCCTTTTATCAAGTAAAAATTAAATATACATTGCAAAGACAAAGTTCATCTAAATTCTAATATTACGTAATGTGTAGGTACTATAACACAAAATTAGATATACAAATCACGTGTACTTGCGTGTGCATTTGAAATAGTTATAGCTAATTAATTAATAGTGCATTTTTCAGGTGCTAAAAACATAAACTATACCTACTATTTTTCATAGTGGAACAGTTATGAGCTTAGTAATGTACAACATGTGCCATAGTGACTAGTTAAGTGGTCCTCTATTTCACGAGACAACTTTAAAGGTCCCACTTTCAACTAATCGTCTTTAAAGTGATCTGATCGTTTGACATGAGAGATAAAAATAAATAAATCCGAGATAAAATTTTGGTGTGTTTGTTTGGTTGTTAAGTTTGAAATAACTTATTTCACCATTTATATCATAGTGATGAGATAACTAATGTCAAAATAATTAATCATGAGATAGCTTGTTCCCAACTAAACGAACCTTTACACCTACACCAAACAAAACCTTCAGGACATCAGTCCACAGTTTTGTTTTTCTTTGGTTATAAATGTGACCTTAGCTTGAGCAAATATTATACATCATATTTCAATTCGAAAGCAAATTCAACTCTCTCTTCCCTTCTTCTTTCAAAGCAATTTTCTAGGTGAGTGACGATCGAGATGGAGAAGCAGGGCACGTGCATTACTAACTCATACGCAAGATTTATCGATGTTTCGAAAATTCTGCTATCATAGTACTGTATTTTACAGCAAATAGTGTTTGTACTTTACATGTATGTGATAAAATGATGAGTTAGTTATTCATGTGCCTGTTTTCCCCATCATGACCACTCAACCTTATTATCAGTATGATATTCATACTCTCAATCCAATTCTTGATTGAAAGGTAAGTAATTTCGAAAAAAATATTTCTGATTTTAGGTTAGTGATAGATCCGAATGTCTTCTTATATGATTTTGAATAATTAAGCGTATATCTTAATTAATCTTGGTTTATTCAATATTGGGCCCAGCTAGGACCAAAGCTAAAGTTCTAGTTATGAATTTGGCAAAATTCATAATAATAGATTTGGCCAAAAGTCAAAATCATGTATTAACGTTGTAAAAATCCACTTAATATACATAAAAAAAAATAATTCAACACCTAGTAATTCAGAATCAATAAATTTTAGATTTTCTTTTAGTCCCACTTGATCTTCATATTATATTATGCACGCTTCAGATGTTATATTCTAAGAATGTCAAAGAATGTCTTGAGTATTTCACATGGGTTGAGGGGAAGTATGGTTGTATTCTTATGATGTTTAGATAACTTTCATTTCGTAATAATTTTTGATATTGAGTTAGGTCTTTCATTTTAAAAGATGATGTTGATATTTGTTATATTCTCGTGTTCATGAGATAAAAAGTTTAATCGTCTTAATGATTGTGATGGTGATACTCGTGAAGAATATGAGTTGTTGGTGATGGAATTAAAGATGCAATATACTATACAATGTCAAAGAAAGATAAACATTAAATTGATCATGTGGTCTAAATTATAATAAATTTTGTTGACAAATAATCCATGGTTGAAAGGTAAATATGCAAATAAAAGACTAGAATAGATAATTATGATTTCACAATATGTGATATTTTAAGAAACTATTGCCTTAGATTTGTTTCAACTTGACCTCTCCCAATTACTTTAGGATGTAGACTTAGATGTAACATATTAGGACCACCAGAGATAATTGGAAATATTTCAATATAAGCTACACAATCTGCAACATTTTGATTGATGAAATTGAACATAAATGCATACAACAACCAAACAATAAAATGATTTATAACTCAATATGATAACTTTTTTATTTTCTGAGATCTAAACTATGTAAACTTTGATCTGTAATATATATATGTATTTGCATTAATTATATATTGACATAATTTAGCTTCAAATGTACTTTAGAGAAGCAAAAAGTATCACGACAAGTTGGTCCAATTTAGCTTCAAATTTATTTTGTTGAAGCAAAAAATGTCACGTCAATTAAAAAAAAGAAATATAGGCTTATAAATAAGGGAGAAAAGAATAACAATTTAATTATATTTTGAGTGGATGGAGAGCACAAAATACAAAAATTAGTTAATTGTTAGAAGCCAGAAAGGCTTAGTGCAAAATGTGCTTGGTGGAATCATTTCCCACTAAATTGAGAGGGCACGCATTAGAGTAAAAAATTAGCGGTTAAGGGTTTGTACGACTTAAATTTGAAAAATGAAAAGCCATTTCTTTTTCGTTGATAGAATGGAGAAAACCGATATGTGGCAAAGAATGAATTGATAGAGGTGTGGAGTTTAACTGAGATAATTAAGAAACAGGACTTTATTAAGTTCTTAAATAGTTAAGAATAAAGTGTACTCGTGTTGTTATCGTTGTTCGACTTCAATAAATAATGCAATTGAATTTCTCTTTCCCTAAAATTAATTTGGAGAGTTTTATATTGATTAATTTGTGGTTATAAAAAGAAAGGATTGTTTCACTTTTCAAGCATAACATTTTCTTCTCTCTGCGTATATTTTCTTACAAACAAAATCGACCCTTTTTGTGATTTCATTGTTGGCTTTTGACTCATTAAAGTTATCGAAGTTTAAGGTGTCACTATTTTCGTAACAAGTATATTCATTTTTATCTTGGGAGGAAATAATTCACAGCCTCATATATAATGAGAAATTTAAATTCCTTAAGGACACACATCAATCTCTATGATCTGATACTTTAATAATATATTTAGACTTTTTTTTTTTTAATATTCTTATTGAACACAATACCTTAAGAATATACTATATTCTATATAAACAAGTATCATGTAAGTGAATTAAATTTTGATACCCACTCTTTAAATTTGATAAGAAATACGTAGTTTCCACAAATTTTGGTACTGATCAATAATCAACTCATCTTATATTGTTATATTCAAATATTAAAATTGGAAAACATAATAAGTAATCTACAAAAACATTTTTGGCTTTACAACCATTGTTAAAAATATATAAAAGCATATTTTAAAAACAATCGCACTTGATTAATGAGTTCAATCTAACTGAGATCTTCAGTAAAATATAAATAAATAAATAAGGTCTAAAATAAACAAAATTGAGACCCGGAGAGTATCATGAAAGCTGAAAAGGTCTCTTTCCAATTGAAGAAAAGGATATAATTATATACATATGGATGTTTATAAATGTAAATAATATTTTTTTTAGTATCAATTCATTAGTATAACTGGCTATAATAAGGTCATTACACTACTTTCCATGTTATTATAATATCAAGCTTACTAGTTACTAGGAATATTTATCTATTATTATAGGCCAATTTGATGATATATTATTATCAGTATATAAAAACAAAACTCAAGAAGAAAAGTATATGTATACCAAATGCTATTATTTTGAACTAAGGCTTGTGATTGATGTTAGAAGCACTACTAGAAAACATGGAGTTAGTAACACTTGGTGATTCCTTTTAGTCCATAGCTAAATAACTCTTAGATAATTGAATTTTCTTATAATATATCACTATTCATAAATAAGATGAGTTTCTTATTTCTTAGCATGGATCTTTTTTTACGATTTAGCAATGAAATTTTACCTATGGCTAATTCTTTATTTTCTTGTTGGGTAGATCACAATATTATTACTCGTATTTAAATTTTGCATTGTATGTATATGTCCACGTGTGTGTTCCACTAAAGGGACTAATAGGTTGTTGGAGAAGTGGTAGAGATTTGGATACTATAAGCTAGTTTACTAAAAATATATTTGTATAATATCTTTAGTGTCAAAATTGGAAATTAGTTTTTCACCAAGAAGGAAAGCAATATCTTTTTGTCTTCATTTGATCTATATAGCCTCCTATCCCACAGGACTCTATCAATAATGGTGAGAGAATTTTCGCATTCATTTGATTGATAGATGCAAAGAATTCACCTAACTAATGCCACCATCACTTGCATGATTTTGTAGTATCTAATACTGAATTTTCTGTTATTATATATATATATGTGTGTGTAAAGCTACTTTCTTACTCAAAATAATACGATTCAAAGTATTTTGTCCACGTAATAAATTAAATAATTGACTTTCTGAATTTATATTTTATGTCGAAAAGACACTTTAAATTTGTGGAGATCTTGTCCTAGGATCCTCCGAATCAATTTGAAGTGGAATCAATAGAACCTTTCAACCTCAACATCGATTAGAAAGAAGTTGTATATATATATATATATATATATATAGCAAATGAGATTGAAAGAGGAAGGACAGGGGCAAGCGAGATTGAGAGATAGAGAAGAGAGACGTCCCGTCCGCTAAGGGCCCACTTAACACCTATCCGAGTAGAAAATTGGCCCAGACATATTTTTAAGCCCAAATGTTCATCTCTTTTACATACTAGCTAGTGTATCAAAATGAAAAAGACGTAACACCATTTAAATTAGCATGAAGTTTTAAGATAATTTTTTTAAAAGAAATATGGTCAAAAATAATTTTTAAATAGTTGTGCAGTTGTAAATCTTTTCATTAAGAAAAAATTAAAAATTTTTAAGTTTAATTATTTCTAATCATCGTAAAGTGATATTTTTTAGAGAAACGAAAAAGGAAAAACTGTCACAATGTGATAGAGATACTAGACATAGTAACCTTTTTCTACTTGGCATGGGGCTGAGTAACAAAAAAAATTGATAAATTTTTATTCATAACATTTTCTTTTATCAATCATATTTTCTTTTTCTTTTTTCAATTTTCAATTTTCCCCTTCTTCTTCTTCGTAGAACTTCAATTATTGTTTTTAAAAAGCTTTGAGCTATACAAGTTTCACTTTTAATTTCTTCTTTACATATAATAATGTATATATCTTATCGTGTTTGAGTTTACAAGTAGAATGATATCTTAAAAGAAGGATAAATTAGCTAAGTAATCAATATTCCTAACATAATTATTAAAAATAATTATAGTTTAAAATAATTATTAAAAATGTCAAAATGTCAATATATTAGCAAATAAAGTATATCCTAATATAATTTACTCACCTTCATTTTATTTCTCAATTTGACTTAATTTAAAAGAAGAAAAAAGAAATTCATTGCCCACTTTTCTCTCTCTCAATTTTATCCCACATATCTTTAAATAATATTTGCTAATGTTATTTTTAACTATTGTTTTGCTTAGAGTTAGGAAATATAATTGAATTTGTATGTCAATACATATGTTTGCATTATTGGAATTTTGAAAATAAAGCTAAATCAATATATGTCAATATGTTTAAGTAATATTTGTTAACTATTACAAATTCTTTGAATATGTGGTCTGCCTTTTTTTTTAATGCCAAGAAATCATTTATCTTATTGTTCTTATGTTGCGAGTGTTTGGTCGATGATGTTTCTTTTTATTTTATTTTATTCTTCTTATGTTTTTACTCCAAAGTCTTTAGTTTGATAATAGGCTTAAGTCATCGATAGCCACTTAAAATTGTCCGCAAATTTCACTTAGACACCTCTTCTTAGGCTTGTTCCAATTGAACACCTAGACAACAAATTTTTTTACCTATTAAACCCTTTTTGCTGACATGGCAAAACGTTTGTAGTACACACAAAGAAAGGAGCATGAAAGCATAACTTTTCAGTAAAAAAAAAAAAGATTTTATGTCTTCTTCTTCTTTGAGAAAGCTCAACACCATTTTTCCATGGCAAGCTGCAACCATCACCGCTCATAATTCTGCAACCATCACCACTCATAATTCTTTCTCCTTCTTTTTCGATTTTCAGCCATTCTCTTTCTCAAATACACCA